CCAGATTTTCAGCCTCTTTTTTGAGGGAAAAAGGTGCGTCTTATATTTCAAAAAATACAATACATACATACACAACATATATACTTGAAATGTTTATAACTCAATTTAACTTTTTAAAATCCTACAAAAAGAATTATTAAAATACTACGCTATGTGTGTATGTAAGATAAAATAATAAAGATAAAGAAGCACAGTGAAAAAGTACGACTAAAATTAAATACAGGTAGTCCTTGACTTATGCCACAACTGAGCCTAACATTTCATTGCTAAGTGAAACAGTTGCTAAGTGGATTTTGCCCATTCTATGACCTTTCTTGCCACAGTTGTTTAAGTGAATCACTGCAGTTAAATTACTAAGAAAGTTAAGTGAATCTGGCTTCCCCATTGACTTTGCTTGTTAGAAGATTGCAAAAAGGGATCACAGGACCCCAGGACACTGCAGTTGTCAAAAATATTTGCAGCTGCAAGTGTCTGAATTTTGATCACACAAGTATTGGGATGTTGCAGTGGTTGTAAGTATGAAAAACTATGATGAGTCACTTTTTTCAATGTATCGTAATTTTGAACTGTCATTAAATGAACTGTTGTAAATCGAGGACTACCTGTATAAAGGAGATAAAGGAGACAAACTAATAACAGCAGATAGAACAACCAGCCTTAGAATTGACAAGATATTGAAGTGGAGGATAGCTTCTGCTTTTTAGAAGCTACCATGAACGGTAAAGGAATACAGTCAATAACTTGCTGGAGACTGGCACTTGGTAGAACAGCTATGAAGGCTTTGGAAAATATATTCAAATGCTTCAGTGACAATGACAATTACTGTCATTTTGTTAGAAATGTAAATATTGCAGGACTTACCTAGAGAAAAGAGAGTAACATTTAAAGTCCAAATTCAGAACTCTAAATCTTCCTCGAATTGAATTTGTACAAAGTGAATCCTTTCAAAATGCATTAAGGAAAGGTCACCTTTCAAACCAACTTGATTTTAAAAGTTTCATTTGGAAAAATAGTCATTTGTGTGAATGCTGAAATAAAGTATGAGAGCTTTTGCTATTGTTCAGCTGTATGTAATAAATAGCATGGTAAAGTTAAAAATGTCTATTTTTTACAGTTTACAAGATGACAGAATACGAATTGAAAGAATGAAAAATGAACATTTTGAGTATGGAAGTGCTTTTAAGATGATTACAGATTTCTATGGCAGTCAAATACTTGATGGCACAGGTACCTAATCCGAAAAGATTTATTTGATTAGCAATTGTGTGGTGATTTGATTATTTTATAAAACTTCTTTGTGTCATGTTAGTTTGACATAATTTACAAAATATTTGTTTATATTTATGAAGTCATATTTTAAGATGAATATATGTACTTACATATTATTTATTTTTCATACAACAGTGTTTTTTAGTAGCAGAAAAAATTCCTATTCTTTTGAGCTGGTAAAAACGAATTCTAAGTTAGCAATGCCTTAAACCAAAATATAAAGTTAGTTCAAAAATTCAACTTTACACTATTAATTTGAACAGTATGTTGATCCTTGTTTGTTTCTTAACAAAGTCCTGTTTGTTTTTTTAAGAAATGTTTTTAAGTAGTCAATTTGACATAAATTGTTTTTTTAGTATTTTATGGTGAGTAAATAAATGAGTTCAATAAAAATCCAAGAAAAGGTAAATTTGTAGGAACATAGCTCGTTGGTAGTCCAGAAAATAATTCTGTGACGGGAATTATTAAGATGCCACTTTGGAGAACTACAAGCTGCTACTTTTTCCAGGTTCTCAAGCATTGTCCCAGATTTTAAAGTTCGATAAATCGGTGTTGTGCTCCTTGGCTGCTGTAATCTTGTACCTTAAAGAATTTAATTTAGAGAAGATACTCTACAACCCCAGGTAAATAGTTTTAATTTTAGATACTAAAACCGTTGTTACATTGATTTACATACTACAGGAAATATTGTTTCACAAAATAAGTGCACTATAATTGTGATATCCAAGTTATCATGAAAACTATATTAGAGAAGTAGAAAAAATTTAAAGCTATGTTTCCAGCTAATGGTATCAGCAATTCAATTTAGTTCTACACAATGTATACCTATATACCTATATCAATATCTTCTTCAGTGCAATCTGTAAATTATTGTTACAGATTCATGACAACAATGTTACTAACAAATCATTTCTGAAAACGCAGCCTAGAAAACTGCTTGAACTTGACTGTTTAGTTGGCAGTAGTCAAGAATGACTCAAAGGCACTCATATGCCCAATTTAAAATCTTCATTCTCAATCCAATAGTATGTCAGAAAAAAGCAACGATAAAAAGCATATTAAGAAGTAGCAACAACAAAAGCAACATTATAATAGAGGAATAAAAGTATCACTAAATTGATACCTTAAAAATAATATTACTAAGTAGGTGATAGGATAAATGTTCAGCTAATCTGCTGAAGTGAAATAAAAGCACAAGATATTTTACTGTGCAGATTGTAATAAACAGTTTGGTAGGAAAACAAAAGATCTACAGACTTAAATAAGTTTTGAAAAATAGCCAGATGAATCTGTTGCTTCTAATGGTACAGAATTCAAGTGACATATGTGCTGGCAATACCTTAAATTCATCTTTCTTTTGTTGTTTCTTCTTAAGGCAGCTATGAAAAAGACTTAATTTCTTCTAATTATCTCAGATTTTCAAATTTAGCTGAATGAAAGCTCCTGATTTAGACAATTTTCCAAAGTCCCAAGAACAGGAAAAACTATTGATTATTAAAGGACTTCCTGTTAATATACCTTTGGTGAACCAGACATTTCTAAGTTCTGGAAGAATCTTAAGACGTCCTCAGGGCAGTCTTCTTCCTTTACTCTTCAGTTGTAAGTTTACTAGCTTTGCCTTTTAATTCTTGATTTCTGATTTTAGATTCACACCGTCTTTGGCCTAGCATGAAGAAAATTGATTAGAAATCAGTTGTCTTCAATCCCATATGAAATAAATTAGCTCAGTTAACTCATCTACGAAGCTGTTTAAATTTACTATGAAAATCAATAGCAATAGCACTTAGATTTATATATCCCTCCATAGTGCCTTACAGCACTCTGAGTTGTTTACAAATGTCAATATATTGCTCCCAACAATCTGGGTCCTCATTTTACCCACCACGGAAAAAATGAAGCCTGAGTCAACTTTGAGCTGGACAAGAGTGAACTTCTGGCTATGAGCAGAGGTAGCCTGCAATACTGCGTTCTAACCACTGCGCATCATGGAAATATATATGAATGAGACATGAAACATGATATCTACCTAAAAAGTAAAGAAAGCCAATATCATCACTAATTTTTTTAAATTTATAATGAATTTTAAATTAGAATTAATTTTTTTAATGAAAATATATGTATTAATGTAAATTGCAATGTTAATGTATTAAGTAAAATGAATCACATGTTCTTTCATAACTATTATTCTGAGTTTGTCTTTTTCTTGCAATGTATAAAGTTAAGTGCTATTTTTAGAATGCCAGTGACTGTTTTGTATCTTTACTATGGATGCTTTTTTTAAAGTAATTTTAAGAAGTTATCAAATGAAGATGAATATATGACACTAAATGGAGCTACGTTAAAGAATCTTGAAATCTTGCGGAATCAAGTAAGGAAGAATTACCTAATGTATTTATGTGCTTTGTGACTTAAACTTTACATTATTCTTTCCAGTCCTTTTTGGTCTATATCCATTTTACCTCCCTTTTAATTAAGTAAAATTAAATCAAATGCTACATCCTAGAAGCTGGTAATTCTTAAAAACAATGCTATTGAGAAAAAAAGATATTCACAGTGGAGTTACTTTTCTGAAATGACTGTAATTAAATCCAAGTTTATATCTGGTAGCAAAGAGGCAAGAGTCTGAAGAGGAATTTGAAGACTAAAGAGATTTTTCATTACCTATTAAGTAAAATTTAAAAATTACAAATCAGACATTAATAGCTGTAATTACGTTTTTACTTTTTAAAATTATGAAATGTAGGCCTAAATAGAGGAAGAATCAGAAAATAAATGAATAAGTGGATTGGAAATGAAAAGATTTAGAAAGAATTGGAAAAAATGGATTAGGAATTAGTTTAATGGCTATGCAACCAGAGAGGGTTAAATCACATTAATTTCACCAATATTCTCCAGTATTCATGTTCAAATTAAGGAGGTTAGAGTAACAAACAGACTTGGACAAAACATTTCATAAGATTTTACCTTCATCTAATTTTCTCTAGGTTTCATGTAGTAAGGTATGAGCGTTNGGGTATAATTTTTACAGGGATAGGTTACTAGCCCAACACTCAAACATCTTCCTTTCCCATTCGGGCTTGGGACCAGCAAGGGTGGAGGTTTAACAATTAAGTCAAAATAATTGAGTTAAAATAATTTAATATTTGATATATTTATTTTTATTTAACATTTTCCAGTGCTTCATGTTCTCTGCTTCTCTTGCAGGTAGGAGTCGTAAAACAAATGGAAACTGCTGCTTTGAAGGCTGTTGGAGAGAACAAAAGCTCTCTTTTTACCCGAAAATTAACTTCACTATATACCAAAGCTACATTTCTAGGAGAAGATATCCTTTTATTATGAATGTTAAATTATTTTGATGACATTTATTTTTGTCTGTCTCTTATTCATTAGTTTGAAATATACTCTGTTTATTCTTCCAATTACATTTACACTTGCTTCTTCTGTTTTGCTTCAAACTTGCCCGTATTAGGGATAATGATTAACCTGTTGTGGTATTCTATGTATTAAAATAGCATTTTATTGTATAGATTATTGTATAAAACTAATTACATGAGTGTGGTGTAGTTTTAACTTTAATTCTATTTGCTTCAAAAAGTGTCACACGGCTAGGGGAAAAGTGATTTGGGGAATTTGAAATACAATCTATGAAAGAAAAAAATCATTTGGAGATTCTTGGTTTTTTAAAAAGTGACACATGGAACAACATTTAGATGTTTGTAAAATAAATTGAGGGAAACCCGCCCACATTTTCTTTAATAATGTAGGGTTTCCATCCCAACTAGGTAGAGAATAAAACCTTCATGAAATGGCCTTGTACAAAATTAAAAGTTTCAGACTGGCATATTGTATTTGGGTTATGTAAAAAGTACATATAGAATTAATTTCCTTTAACACTTTGCTACATTTGGATCCCCTGTTGAAATTAGATAATTCAATGGAGGCTGAGGAAATATCTTCTAATGTCTGGGATAATTATCTTCTCTGCATCTCTGAAAATAAAGAAAATTTAAACCATAAGAATGACAACATTGTTTTAGGCGTAGTGGTAAGCATTTCTAAAAAGTTTTAATTTATAATTATAGCTANCAACTCCCAGAATTCCCCAGCCAGCAAATGCTGGCTGGGGAATTCTGGGAGTTGAAGTCTAGACATCTTCAAGTTGCCAAGGTTGAGAAACACTGATCTAAGACTTGTTTCTGCTGGCACAGCACTTGATCAATGTAATTCTCATCAATCACTCTAAAGAGCTTTCCAAAAGGGGGGGGGGGAGTTTTTGCACTCTGCAAACCTCCCAAAAATGGCCAGTTTTTCGTGAAAACGGGCCCGTTTTTTTCAAATAAAAGGCATGAATAGCCTTGGGGGGGGGTTGGTGAATGCTCCTGTGGGAGCCAAAAACAAGCAAAAACGTTCTGTTTTTTTGCAAAAACGGGCCCGTTTTTGTCAAAAAAAAATTGCATGGATAGCCTTATGGAGGCTTATAGAATGCTGCTGGGGGCAGGGGCAAAAAAGGGCCCATTTTTTGCTCATTTCTGCCCTTCCTAGCCCCCAGGAGCTCTCTGAAAGCCTCCATAAGGGTATGCATGGCCATTTTTGTGAAGGGGCTTCGGGAGGCAAAAAAAAAATGCTGTATTCGATGTATAAGACACACCCAGAATTTCAGCCTCTTTGAGGAAAAAAGGTGTGTCTTACACTCCGAAAAATACGGTAATCAAATCATGCATTTAATCCTCACTGAATTTATATGTAATCTTCCAATATTACCTGTGTGCTTTTTCTCTCTATTTGGTATCATTTATGATTTATAATGTTGGCTTAGAACTCAGGAAGCTATTTTATTTCATTAGATAATTGATCCATCTGTCCTAGTATACTATTTCTTTTGTTTGGTGAAGACTGTTCAAGATTTTAGGCAGGTGTTTTGAACTTCTACAATCAAAACAAATGCTCTGTCACTGAACTGCAATTCTTTGTTTCTTGTTTAAAATGATTAGTAATGGGAACTTTCTTAACTGAGAGTTGTTACCCTCCAGGATATCACAAGCAACTTAGGAAAGATCATAGTTTTCTTAAAAACTAATTAGGCTTGTGCAGGCAAAGCAACGAACAGAGTCTGGAGTGAATTTTAACTCTTCCCATTTTACTGTACAAGCCTAACAAAGCAGGTTTGCATACGCAAAAAAAGTGTGCGTGCCAAAATCATTAATTACACCAGCATTTCCTTCCTTCCTTCCTTCCTTCCTTCCTTCCTTCCTTCCTTCCTTCCTTCCTTCCTTCCTTATGGCACCATGGCTATGGCAATCCATATACTTATTTAACATAAATGTAGATGGAGATTGGGAATATAATCACATTGTATGACTCCAATCATTATAGTGTGATTAAAATGAAGCATGATTTAGTGATGTGATGTGTGCCCTAAATGTAATGTCATAATCAGAGGTTGGTTACTAAGTCAGATCACAATGTTATGATAGTCAAGATATATTTCCAAGGCGTGAAGTCTACTTATTGATCATATGTTAAAAAATGTGGTACAAATGACTATATATCAGTGTTTCTTGCTGTTTCCCAGAGGAAAAATTTAATTGATATGATTTCCACCAGTTTGAAAGGTGGCGAACAGGCGCACACAAAGCTTGGCCCTAGGTCAGTGAATGGCGCTGTGCCCAATGTTCCCTCTAATTTTTTTTCAGTGTGAGCAGAAAAGTATAGTGTTTGAGCGGCATATTTTCAT